GGTTGACGAAATTATACACATTGCAGTTCAACTTAAAAGATCGCACAACAGTAGACCTATGCCAGGTGATCCCAGTTATAGTGTAGCCGAAATGGACAATATTATCTGTCCTATGTGTTCACTCATGTGAACAGAACAATTTCGTTTCTTGATAAATAATTATTTACTCGAATAAAAACATTTTGTTGTCAGTAATGTATGTATCTCCGTTGTGTGTATGTTCATTTATTTCTATGTTATTCAATGTTTTGGTGATGTATACATGCATGCTATTCCCTAATTAAATATCTATTTTGTGTGTGTTGAGGGGTCCGTGTTCCATTACCCGTGCGTATTTGTTATTATGTGTGTTGAGCAGGTCTACTGTAGCATTATTTGCGTGGTGAGAGACCCTGCGCGCCGACCACCGTTCTTTAATATCATTACGTGTGTGTTGGGAGAGAGTTTACCTGTCGCATTATGTGTTTCTTTAGGTTGGGGTTTACTCTCCTGTTTGTGATGAGAGGAGTCTTCTGTCCCATTATGCGTTGATAAGGCCTGCTTAGCCCTTTCTGTGTAATGAGAGTGCTTTGTCCCATTACGTATGTGCTGCAAAAGGTCTTCTCTCCCATTACATGTGTTAACGGGTGTCTGCTGTCGCAGTGTTTTTGTGTGGAAGAGAACTTCTTTACACTTACATGTGTGTTGAGGTGGTCTTCTTTCCCATACGTTTGTATTGAGGTGGTATTCTGTCCCGTTACGTGTGTATTGAGATGGTCTTCTGTCCCATTACGTGTGTATTGAGATGGTCTTCTGTCCAATTGCGTTTGTATTGAGATGGTCTTCTGTTTCATCACGTGTGTACTGAGATGGTCTTCTGTCACATTACGTGTGTATTGAGATGGTCTTCTGTCCCATTACGTGTGTATTTAGGTGGTATTCTGTCCCATCACGTGTGTATTGACGTTGGTCCTCTGCCCCATTACGTGTGTATTAAGGTGGTCTCCTGCCCCAATACGTGTGTATTGAGATGGTCTTCTGTCCCATTACGTGTGTATTGAGATGGTCTTCTGTCCCATTACGTGTGTATTGAGATGGTCTTCTGTCCCATTACGTGTGTATTGAGATGGTCTTCTGTCCCATTACGTGTGTATTGAGATGGTCTTCTGTCCCATTACGTGTGTATTGAGATGGTCTTTTGTTTCATCACGTGTGTATTGAGGTGGTCTTCTGTCCCATTACGTGTGTATTTAGGTGGTATTCTGTCCCATCACGTGTGTATTGACGTTGGTCCTCTGCCCCATTACGTGTGTATTAAGGTGGTCTCCTGCCCCATTACGTGTGTATTGAGATGGTCTTCTGTTTTATCACGTGTGTATTGAGATGGTCTTCTGTCCCATCACGTGTGTATTGAGGTGGTCTTCTGTCCCATTACGTGTGTATTGAGATGGTCTTCTGTCACATTACGTGTGTATTGAGGTGGTCTTCTGTCCCATCACGTGTGTATTGAAGTTGGTCTTCTGTCACATTACGTGTGTATTGAGGTGGTCTTCTGTCCCATCACGTGTGTATTGAAGTTGGTCTTCTGTCACATTACGTGTGTATTGAGATAGTCTTCTGTCCCATTACGTGTGTATTGAGATGGTCTTCTGTTTCATCACGTGTGTATTGAGGTGGTCTTCTGTCCCATTACGTGTGTATTGAGGTGGTCTACTGTCCCATTACGTGTGTATTTGGGTGGTCTTTTGTTCCATTACGTGTGTATTGAGATGGTCTTCTGTCCCATTACGTGTGCATTGAGGTAGTCTTCTGTCCCATTACGTGTGTATTGAGGTGGTCTTTTGACCCATTAAGTGTGTATTGAGGTGGTCTTCCTTCCCATTACGTGTGTATTGAGGTGGTCTACTGTCCTATTACGTGTGTATTTGGGTGGTCTTCTGTCCCATTACGTGTGTATTGAGGTTACTGTCCCACCAAGTGTGTATTGAGGTGGTCTACTGTCCCATTACGTGTGTATTGAGGTATTCTTCTGTCCCATTACGTGTATTGAGGTGGTCTTCTGTTCCATTACGTGTGTATTGAGGTGGTCTACTGTCCCATTACGTGTGTATTTGGGTGGTCTTCTGTCCCATTACGTGTGTATTGAGGTGGTCTACTGTCCCACCAAGTGTGTATTGAGGTATTCTTCTGTCCCATTACGTGTCTCATTGCGTGTGTGAGTTATTCTTTCCACTTTTATATACAACAAATGTAGGCTTTATTGATTTAATTATCAAATATCTATATTTTTCACACCAAAACATAAATTATGCTCAATTACATGTTGGCGAAGAGAGGATAATAGAGACGATAGAGTTCTTCCGCAACTATTGATAAAGTTTGAAGAGGTCATCTGCTGTTCCATTACGTGTATGATGAGGGGCCTCTCTTCACATTTTTCAAAACTTACTAGTACGGAGTACACATTTCTAAATTTAAAAGTAATGCAAATCAGACGCCGAACATGCCGATACACAAAACTATACAATGTATTGTACTGCAAAAGGGTCAGGTGAAGCGTACCGAGCCCCAGTTGAAATTTAACAAAATAACAAATGACACAAATGCGACCCTGTCTATATCATTGACACGCTAATCGTCGTCGCAGATCATTGACACGCAAATAAATGAAGTGTCTGGAAAATAGAAGTGCAATGTACACCGCAACCAACGAACGTGTTATTGGTACATGTATGCCGTTTCATCGTTTCAATGCACACAGCTTCGGCGTACTATGTACATTAGCCATTTCTTCCCCAACAGTATAACTTGCGGTCATTATGTTTATTTCTCATTCCATTTAAAAAGCAATCTATGGAAAAAAACTTCGCTCAGAACAATTTTTTTTAGAATTGACATTTATTAATTATAAGATATCCTTTGCATATACATCCATCAGAGCTCCAAACTGTCGTTTACAGTTCATTTCGGCCAGTCACGTCCGTGTGATTTTGGTGATTTTTTTTTTCAAAATCTTGCATAGATTGTACGCCTTTGTTTAAAATATAATATTTAATATTATTTGTAAAATGTTTTATTTCATTGAAACTTGAATTTAAAATTTAATAGAAAAAAATATTTGAGAAACGCATAGATATATAATATAACATAACCGTGTAAAATTGAATACTAATAAATTCAAAATCAGTCCGAGTCGCACTCGAGCATATACTGAACAAAATTCTTCGCTATTTCTGTGACAATATCAACTAAAATATTTAAAACAGTGTCGAGGAGTTCGTTATTTTCCCCTTTTGCAATTTCATCGCTTTGTTTGTCAACACCACCGTGTTGCTCGTACCGGATTTTATCTGAATCTACTGCTTGTTTTATTCTCTGAGTTAGGTCGTTATTGAAAGGCTTGTTTCCATTTCGTTGTTTCATTTCATCTATCATCATTATCAGCTCATCTCGTTGTTGCTGTATAACTGTTGGGTCTTTCGACTTGTTATCAAATGCTATAGCTCGATTGTTGCATTCACGTAAAATCGATTTCATGTATGCGGGTACATCATCCAGTAGCTCTGTAAGAGTTACGTCGTCTGCTTCAAGTTGGTCTTTTCTAGTGAATAACACTACAACGTGTTTCATCATATCTTCACCAAACAGAGCGCGCAGAAATTTAACACTGTTCAAATGTTCTTCGGTCAATCGTTCATCGGCATTCAACGTAAGTATAATCGCATCCAAGCCATTACCCTGACTCAAGGCGATGCTCATACATGTAGCTGTTTCTGTTGCTAACATCGTTGGTGTAATGTGCTCACGTGTGTCGAAAGAACCTGGTGTATCGATTACAACGATGCTGCGGTCTTGGGTAGTACACTTCGCCCAGGCGTTGAGGCGTGTTTTCGACACTGTGGAGCGAGATGAACGAAACTGCTGTCTGCCAAGAATTGTATTTCCAGTGGCACTCTTACCCGCTCCAGTTCTGCCGACTAAGACCAAAATGAGTTGGTCTCCCCGAGGAAGAGGCGCACGACCACTGCATGCCATTATTCCTATAAAAAAA